ATTCAACAAAACAAAAATTATGAATCACTTTTGATAATAACCACAAATAAGATGGATATATCTAAAATATCTACCAGTTCGACATAGATACACATGACTGGTTAATTGTTTTTTTATGAGAAAATAAAGGAAATAACAACATAATAACTGGTATATTTTATTAATTGGTAAAGAATCACAAAACTGTTTGTCCACGTAACTTTTCCTATGGAACCAACAAAAAGCGTAAATCTTTTTTGCTTTCAAGGTGATTGGAATAATTCACCTGAACTTGTCCATAGAGTTACAGGAAATAACTACCCTAAAACATTTAGAAAACTTATTGTAAAGAAAAAACTCAAAAGGATCTAGCAGTGTCAAAAGTAAACTAAATAATGTTACTTAATAGCGAAATTAGAAGAAATAAATATCTAAAAGAACTAATAGATCATAGCACAACTGATTATTCCCTCTGGGGAGCCACTAGGAAAAAATAACGAGTCAGATTGATCACATAGACATGGATCACATGGATCCAAGGTATGGAACAGACGTAATAAACTACAGAAGTTATGGAGGCATAAACATAGACTCAGATCTTTGCCTAGTGATCTTAACATTGAGGGCTAGATAATAATAAAATGGATAGAAAAGAATGGAATACGCAAAGGCAGAGAGATGCGACAATTGCAGAACGGTACTTGGAAAACATCACCGACAGGCTAAGGAATTAAAATTTAAATCAAGAAGGCTACACAGATATAGATTTCTACTAGACCAGAATAAAAGAAGACATTGAAGCAGCAGCGAAAGATAAAATAGAAACAGAAATTTGTGTCCGTAAAACTCATTGGTTTGACGATGAATGCAATAATTCAACAAAAGACAAAAATGAAGCCTACAGAACGATGTTTACCAGACCAACTAGAACAACTGTAGATAATTACCAGACAAGAGAAGAGAAGAAACGAGGATACATAAAAGAAAAAAACGAAACCGCTTAAATAAGTAACTAAAATATATAAAAAACCTTAACAGAGATAAATAATTCAGAGCATTCTTTAAGAAGGTTAACATCAACAGAAAATATTTCAAGGCAACCACAAGGCAATGCAGAAGTCAGAATGGCGACCTAATAAACAAGGAAAGATGTATTAAAGAGATGCGAAAATAACGTAAGGGGAACATACAAGAGGGAAGAGGACCCACCAACGATAAAACTAGTCTGAAACAAATCACCCAGAATAGGTAATCTCCTCGCTAAACTATATAACAAAGGTGGTCACGATACCATAATGGCAGTACAGCAGATTATAAAAAAATATGGACACAGAAATTGGAATAATTGGAATATTGAAATACTTTGCACTTTAGACAAATAAGAAGATATCTTTAAATGCTCTAACCACAAAGCAATTAAGCATCTAAATGCAGCGTAAAAATATTTTCCACAGTACTATGTCACCATATGCAGAATGGATAATAGAAAAATATCAGGCTGGTTTCAGAGGTGGTAAATAGACAATTCAATCTGACTCTAGAAAAAATAATATGTATATCAGAAATTACAACCATTGTTGCATGTAGCATTGTATGTAGCATTAAAAGTTTCAGTTACAAAAATGGGTTTAATAATAAACACCAACAAAACGAAGGATGTGAAGATAAGCACGCCACCACAAATCCTATGGCTACCTGTTACAAAAAAAGACGTAATTGAAGCAGTGAACAAATTTGTATACCTAGGAGCGCTCCTAATAATAAAAATACTACTACCACAGAGATAAACCGCAGATTTTGCACGGCCAACAGATGCTCATTTGGGCGCATTCTCTTTCTTAAATTCACAATTATATCAAAAAATAAAAAAATAAAACTCTACAAAGCAATAATACGTCCAGTCCTAGCATATGGTTCAAAGACCTGGACTCGAACAAAAAGTAATAAAAACATGGTTGGATGTTTCAAAAGAAAAGTATTTAGGTGAATCTATGGAGCAGAGAATGATAATAGGGTCTTCCATGGAGTCTGGAGAACTTTGTAAAATATACCACAAACCAGTTATCGTAAAACATTTAGATAGGACGTCTGGGATGAATATGGTATGTAATGCGGATGGATCAAAATGACCCAGTTAGAAAAACGCTTCTGGATAGATCCACTGGTCAGAGAAAACAGGAAGACGTGTTTTGAACATTGATTAAGACGTGAGTAATATGGAAATTCTTGCCAATAAGCGACTAGGAAATTGAAACGACCGATCTTGCAAAATTCTCTATTAAGGAATACAAATGGATACTGGGCAAAAAGCAATTTAGAGAAGGCGTATAAATTTGTTAAATATGTCGAGGAAATCATTCAGATAAATGAAAGTGATAACACACTTTAATTGGAAAACATCATATAGGAAGAAAGTAAAATTACACTAGTCATTCCAAAAGAGGTGTCCAATGAAATTAAAGCAAAAAGTATCAATCCCAGAATAGTAACTGAGTTTGATTAAATAACTGAAACGTCTTAATTCAACTCCCTAGAATAGCCATAATAAATATGACATATCTTATAAATGACTTGTTCAGATTAAGTCATAATCCCAAGATCTGGAGCTAGCAAAGTGCATAATCACTATTAAATCTAGAAAGCAACCAAATGCAGTATCTTCGTACAGGCCAATTTCCTTACTCATTTCGAAGTAATTTTCAAGCTATAATAGAAGCTTTTTCTGGAATAGTTGAAACTGTCATCCTGGTGCATAAGCCGTGGACTAATGCGCACCCTGGTGCGCATCGCCCGCCTTAAAACTTTGTTTAATTTTACTACTGGCCGAGATATCTAAAAATGCCACATAAATATAAATAAACATAAATATGAGACATTTTCTGCTCTCGACCTCAGTCTGGTCTCGGCTCCCAAATAGGGTCTCGCACCCTGGTAGTCCGATGTCGGGGCTCCGTTCTGCGATTCTTTTAGACTCTGTGGCTGGATAGTTTCCACCTTTTAAAAGTTGTTTTATATTAATTACTGGTGTAAGAAAAACCACAAATCCACCGAATGAAATTTACGCAATGGGGACTTCAAATTGACTGGTCGAAGTCCCTCTGTAAGGCACCGTGGAAGTGTTAAGTAGGAGTGATTCTTTAAGCCCTTACATCCCATCTGGTGATAAAATCTACATAAATGTTGAAGCTCTAATTCTATCGCAACAATTTGGGTTTCTTGATATAGAATAAGTACATAAAAACTGATATAATAGAGAGGTCACAAAAACAATAACAATTTGAGCGTGGCGCCAGCTTTTGATAAAATCTGGATGAAAGGACCAATATAAATTAAACAGGATTTTGTTAAGTAAATACACAGAATTATTGACTTATATTTTCATTTTTATTTAATTTTTAGATATATTTTAGATAGACTTTTTAGGCTTAAGAAAGAAAAAACCTAGGAATTAAAAAATTCAACGCAGGTGCACTACAAGATAGCGTGATAGGCCAGTTCATTACCTATTATACACTAGTTATATTCAATAATTAGATAATAACACAATATCTACCTTTGCTGATGCTACTGCCATATTGGCCGTAGGTAAAAATCATAAAGCAGCAACAAGGAAACTACAAATCTCTGCTAAAAGAACTACTGGACTTATTTACTAATAGACAACTGGACTAAATGATTCGAACTAAATTAAACCACATTTAGACATTAATTTCTTCTTCTTCTTCTTCTTCTTACGGTGCCTATCTATTCCGGATGTTGGCGATCAACATGGCTATCCTAACTTTGCTTGCTGCTATTCTGAATAGTCCGGTTGTTGATGTGTTAAACCACTTTTTCAGGTTTTAAAGCCAAGATATTCTTCTTCTCCCTGGTCCTCTCTTTCCAAATACCTTGCCCTAAAGAATGAGTTTGCAACAAGCCGTATCTCTGTTCATTCCTCATAACATAGCCAAGCTATTACATTACACCATTAGTCACACGATCCACCCATGATATTTTTAAAATACGTCTGTAACACCACATCTCGAATGCCTCGAGTTTTCTTAAAGAAGCTTCGGAAAGTGTCAAGGTTTCTACTCCGTATATTAACGTAGAAAATACATAGCATCTAATGAGAGAGATTTTGGTAGGAAGTGGTAAATCGTGACTTCTGAAAAGAGACTTCATCATTATGAACGCTGATCTCGCTTTTCCTATGCGTTGTTTTATTTCACTGGAGTGATCCCATTGGCTGTTAATGTTGGTACCAAGGTAGGTAGACGGTAATTTAACAAACAATAAAAATTAAAACAGTACTTTTAATGTTATTAATACCATATGCCGCTATTATACAAAATATTTGGGTATTACATTGGACGCTAATCTACGCAAGAGGGCCCGTGTTAAAAAGAAAAGACAACAGCTTAACATCAAGTTTAAAAAAAATGTATTGGCTATTGGAAACACTATGTGCCCTTTAAATTCACAACAAAATACTTTTGTATAAACATTAAGTAGAGTAAGAGTAGTTTCCACATTATCCAGCCTTTCCAATACAAAGTGCTAAGGTGCATTTTCAATGAGGGACTATCCTTGATATTATAAAAACAGTAGCATCTATAGAAACTTAAAAAGGACATTGTTAATAAGACCATTGAACAATTTTACGAAAAAAGTCACAAACAACATCTTCTAAGCTTCAATGTAAGAGCCATACATTTCCTTGAGAATACGGATCTGGCTAGAAGATTCAAAGGAAAGAAACTCGAGTAAGTTAAGTGAAAAGCATAGTATAATGCAAATGATGGTACAGATTAATATTTTGTCAAATACATTAACAGAACCTAAGGGATACTTGTCAATTTCTTCTTAGTCTCAAGTTTTTAGTTAAAATTGCTCCAAAAAAGATGCTCATTGAACCTATTCTTTGATCAGATTATGATGTTTTTAACTTTATTAGTATTTACTATAAACTTTTACAGCTTTATTTTATTTTAAACCATAGATAGAAAAACAATTATTTAGAAATTAATTTAATTAAGTTAATCGATTATGTAAAAGTTACTCACTTTGACTTTCTTGTCGATTGGTGGTTTTTCTAGAAGACACATCGAAGTGGTATCGGTCCGTGGGATTTCGATGCATGTCTGTGATCCCCTCTTTTTGTTGGAGACCATCATTCCTTCTTCCGTTTCCTCTTCTTCTTCTTCATTTTCTGCCGGGCTTTCTGAAATATATAAAGAGTATATTAGACCAATATGCAAAATATAAATAAAATCTTGTTTCGAGTAGAAATAATACCTAATAATGTAATGAAATCATAATATGTGAATAATCTATCAAATTCATTATTAATATATCAAAGAAATGTAATATAAGATTTAGCACACTTGCTTTCAAATAAAACATATTTTATATTGGCCACACTACTACGATATGTCTGGTAGTTTAATAAATAACAATCTAGGCCCAATACATAAAAAAAGAAAAGTTGCAGAATATAAAAAGGGGAAATAGTATTATAAGAAATAATATACATAGTGTTGGTTTTAAGTTGCGGATAAAAAACCAAACATGGAAACTTGGATGTCCTGAAGAAGACACCAAAGAGGATGTCGAAAGCTCGGCGTAATGATAATCGACGCGGATCAACTCGGAAGTCTGTTAAGTTTATTATTAATTATCTTAATAGTATTAATTTTAGCTGGCATTTTTAGTTAATTTTTACGTAAAAAAACATACAGCCCATATTTCAACAGTATATGTACTTTAAAAAATAAAAATATATACTGAGAATAATAAATGTTATATATGTATCGCAGTGTTTAATGCCAATAAAGAGCTCTAAATTGTTCAATTTGGATAAAGCGGCGAAAGCCAATTGAATTCCAATATCTTCTATTAGCTTTAACCCAATTTCAATGAAATTTCGAAAATTATTCTTGATGGTTGAGAATTGAAATGGAAACATTTAAATATGAGAAGCTTCAATGTATGGCAAAGAATATCAGAGAATACCCAATCGAAAATATGTGATAACATTTGAGTCTTTCTGTCGAAAAGCTTTATATATCCACATAAATAGTTTGTTAAGTATGTTTACTGCAATTACAGACCGTAATCTTAATACATTTTATTACAAAAATCTATCTAACATGTAATTTTTTTTTGGTGGAACACTTGACAGCAAAATTTACGCTTATAGCGGTGTTTATTCAGAGGAGAAATCATTTGAAAGTTCAGATTCCGATCAATCTTTTACTGAACGAGATATATTTATGAAAAGTTTTGAAAATAAACAAGCAAGTTTGAAGTTTGGAATTTTAAATGTAAATGTCAATGTTGTTGAATGGTTTTATAAAAGTTTCACTTGCTTGGTATGTTGCTCTTATTTCTTTTATATAAAAACAATACGTTATATGTACCAATAATATTGATTTCTTGCAGTAACTTATTTAAAGCGGTTGCAGAATCACGTTAAAAATGGAAATAAGGCAACATGCAACAAAGCAATTTCAAGATTTAGTGGCAAAATAAAAAATTAGGGAGGCAGTGAAAAAAATAAAAAAAAAAGATAATGGTACACTGTGTAAAGTGCAAATTTTCCGACTCTGTAAAATAAAAAATAAACAATTATATTGACACATTTTTTGGAATTAATAATTTACAATCTACGGAATAAAAAATTTATAAAAAGAACTTTATACAATTACACCAATTCTTCTTCTTTTTGTGCCGTCTTCTAACGAAGGTTGGCGATCACTTCTTTAAACGCTTCTCGATCTTTTGCAACGTGAAATATCTATTCAACACTCAGGTTAGTCCAATCTCTGATATTCCTCAGCCAAGATGTCTTCTTTCTCCCCAAGCCTTTTCTTCCCTCTACTCTACCTTGCATGATGACTTGTAGCCGAGAGTATTTATCGTTTCGGAGTATGTGGCCCAGATACGATGTTTTTCTTATTTTAATTGTGTTCATAAGCTTTCTGCCATATCCAACTTAACACCAATGGGTTAAAATAAATGCATTACTTTGTTTGAGATGCCTTATTTCCAAAAAAAACAGAAAACTAATGTTTTAAAATAGTGGTAAACCACAAAATAATAAAATCGAGATACCTATTGATGTTTAAAGTTTTAAAAAAATCTAGAAAATATTGCTTTAAATATAAAAACCTTAACGCTTGTTATTTAATTATGTTATTTATTAAGTTCCATGTGTATTTATTATTTCACATAAAAAACACATATTTACATAAAAAAAGATGTTTATTCGAAAAAAAGTGGCTTAACATGTTCTTAAATTAAAAAAATCGTAACACAAAAAACGATAGTCGAAATAAGTCTTACACGTATCAGAACAAGGTAATTTAAACAATATGTTATAATGAGTACAAAATATTTTTCTGTATGCACTTTCTTTAACTGGCGTAATATTCATTTCTCTACACCATGGCACATAAAATCTGTATAGTGCTGTAATTGTCATATCACAGTTCAGATATTCTTTTTTTTATATTTTTGGCTCTGCTATAATGACTTTGGTATTTGGGAATGGATTCAATATGAGTTTTGACTGATTGAATATGTTCCTCTGAATGTTTATTAGGTCTGTTTGTGTGCTTATCTCTCTTATCAGGAATAGGAACCATAGCCTCGAGTGACTTCATTTTAAAAATATTTTCAATTCTTCCATGAGATTTTTAAAGTACGTGAACACTTAGGAATTCAGTCTTGCATACTTTAATTTCCATCTCGCCTACATTAACCAATTATTCAGCGGTAAATTTTCTTTTAGAAAGATTGCGTTTTTGTTTTTTCTTATACGATCTATTCTTATTTTTTACTGTGATACACCGAAAGAGATATCTATTTTGAAGGTCGAATGAGCCCAACTCCCAAAATGTCTTGTCAAATACATGTTCATGATTACTTTGCAGTTTCTTCCTACATTTATTTTTACATTCACACAGTTAGCCAATTTCACGTGAACTAAAAATCGTCTTGGTTTTCTTCGAAGTATACTGCTGTCCAGTATTACGGCTTCTTTTTCTGTGATTTCGATTAAAGTGTTTGTCATTTCTTTGTCTTCATCTTGCTGGTTTTCTCTTCTATGGATTTACCTACTTATCTTCAAAAAGCCTTGGTATTGGTTCCTGCAATTCATCCTAAAATACAACAAAAAATGACCGCATTAGACTCTAGAATTTGCGAATATTTCAGAATTTTTATATCAACAACTCGATATGCCACAAGGCATACCATATTTTTCCATGTAATATACACGAAATATTTTTGTACAAAAACATGGTAAGCCAAAAAATCAGAGTAAAAAGCTTACCTCGCTAGATTGAGACGAAAAATCGTCGCTACTGAGCCTCAAGTCTTTATCTGCTATACTATCATCACTATCATCAATAAAATTTACATTTAAAGTGCTATTTTCGCTTAAAACCGCTCTTAATTCAGCACGTGCACCTGATGTCGACGCCATTTTGATGTGGCTTACCACGGTTTACGCGAAAAAGTGAACAGAAACGGACGATTGCATAAACACGATTCATCAATAACTCTATTTATTGCAATAATTACCAAATAATATTTGTATGGCTTAACATGAATTTCTTTAAATACGTAATGCAATAAAATAGAATTCTGTAAAAATGTGGCCATTATATTGCAATAAGGTCTTCCTTCATATGTAATTCGAATATCACTTCTAATGCCGCCGTACGTCTGAACTTCTGCATCGACGATATGATGAAATAATTCGAAGTTATAAAGTAAATGATGAATTGGTAGCTAACAAATAAATACAAGCGACGTAACTTTAAATTGGCTTAACGTTCTTGCTAAGTTAATATTCTAATTAAACTACCAACTCAATAGAGTTCAACTACAATTTATAAGCTCACAAACAAAGCAACAATTCGTAAAAAAGGTCATTGCCTGTTAGCTTTTTACTTGTATCTTAACCGAAGTGCTTACAATATAAAAATCAAACTATGAAATTATTGACACACTAGTTTGAAATTGATCTGATTTTAACCAGAAAGTAAATAAATAAGTAGTTAAAATAAGACAACAAATAGAAAATGTCTAACTACATAGAAAATAATAATAATATTCCTACGCTTGTCCCGTGCTTAGCTACTTATTTGGTATTAAGTGGACAAAAACAAATATAGAAAATCTTTAGCGAAAAGTACGAACACACTTCACAAAGGCACAAAAACGCCATCCTCGAAATGCAGTATGGAAAACTGTATTACCGCAGTATTAATGAGGACAAGGACTTATGGATATAAGTAAGCAGGCTGAGACATCTACTCTACATCATGTGATTTGTGCCGTAGATTACACAAAATTGATCAAACTGAGCGAACCAAAAGTGCGCATCTGGATAGGTAAATCTCTGCACGAGCCACATCCCAATGAAGTCAGTCAAGACTATATCGACAATAACTATAGCGTACTATTGGGTGACATAAAGAAAGATGCTCCCTGAAACAGAAGGTTTATTGTTGCTATTTAGGATCAGGTTATACCAGCAACAATTATCTAAAATATATCATCAAACACCCTTAAGTCCTTAACGACAAATGACGATATAGACGTCAAGTCCAAGAAACCAGTCAACATCTTACTGGGGGCTCCCAGTCATTTGCTGCAACTGAATACAAGGAACGGCATGATTCACTAGGGAAAATCCTTCATCAAAAAGTAGCTATCAAACAGGGACTTCTTTAGCAAACCATTTCTCATATTATCAATACGTCCTAGAGAGTATGCTTAAAAATGAAAATTTCAAGCTATATTGGGACCGCACTGTGCTAACAGACCAAACAATAACACACAATAGACCAAATCTCGTAATAGTTGATATACTAACGAGACAAACAACACTAATCGAAGTGGCGATACCTAACAACAATATTCTGTGTGCTAAATACAATGGAAAGATCGCCCAGTATAGAGATCTGGAAATACAAATAAGAAGGCAGTTGAGAATGGAGAGTACCCAAACGATACCTATTATTTCATCTACTACTAAAGTCATTCAGAAGAACCTCCTAGAGAATATGGTCTTGATGAACATATCTATGAGACTATATAGAAAGCGATAGTACCCTCAACATGCAGATTCAAAAGAAAATTTTTGGGAGATACTCCGACATATACGACAAGTCACTTACGTCATGATAACACAAAAATATTCTCACTACTGCTTCATACTTTTGATACTGCATGTACCTGGGGTGAGTAAATTTTCCCCTTTAAGGGAGTGTGGCTGAATCTGTTTTATAAAATAATAATCATATTCTTTAACTAATTAACTTGGTTTTTTAATTAATATTTCATCTGAGCAGTGCTACATAAATAACTCCAATATTTAGATTATATATTTCAGAGAAACTACTAATTTAAATTAAATCCAATTATCGTCACATAAAGGTAATCTAGCAAGCAAAAGTTTTAAAAGTATTACTTTTTAATTATGGTAGAGTCCGTCTTTGGGGAGCTGAGTGAGGTTTGATGTAAGGACTGTGATATCATTGTTTTTTACAAGGTTCAATATAAAAATAATTATCGTCAATAGTCCCATGGTTAAATGAGCAATCCACTAATGGTTGGTTCAACGAAAAATGGAACTTTGAATCGAGAAATTGCCCACAGGATACAGGCAGGGTGGTTTACCTGGAAGCGAATGAGCAAAGTACTCTGTGAGTTTGACCTGTAAAGAAAATTCAGGAAAAAAAGATGAAAGTAGCTAAAATTAAAATATTGCGGTGGATATTGGGTAAAACTGAAAGGGACAGGAACAGGAACGACTTGATTAGAGAAAGAGCCAGGATGACTACAGTCCCAAAAAAGATCCAAGAACAAAGAATGCAATGGTTTAGTCATTTCATATATTATTGAAGTGAAAACAATCTGGAATAAAGTATAGAGCTAGTAGAAGTTGATATAAAATAGGTATATCAGAGTCTGACAGAAAATTTAAGAGAAAAAGGTTTAGGTGAAGAAGACGTGATGGCCAGAAATAAGATGCGAAGACAAGTAAGTCTACGCGTGTTCGGATATGTCTTGGTCCAAATGTTTTGCGTCAAGTACTGTGTTTGACAACTCATCTCCCATCTATGTATATTATGTTTGGGCATGTTGATCTGTTGTAGTATTGGCCTCTGCAGTTCTTTAACGACGTTGACAGGAGTCTTTAAGTAACTTTTAAATGCTGTTTCCAATTAGTTTCTGGATATGAGCAGTGCTATGTTCCGATCCTGAGTAAAGCATGTTGATAACAATTATATAAAACTCGTTTGATTTATTATAAGTATGTTCAGAACAAGAACCATCGCACATTATAGCTTAATTTATTGTGTATGGTGAAATGACCAGCCAGAGGTTCGGTGTGCTTAATTTTAACCAACTGGTTTCTCTGATCGTTTACTCTACTATACTGCAGGTGGTGTTGCGTATTTTAATATCAATGATTGTCATTGGTGACCATACCAATTCTGCCTTGTTTAATTCGGTGTGACACACGAAAAGCATAAAAAATTTATATAAAAATTACGCTAAAGTGATTAATAAATTTATCCAATTTCTATAACTGGATTCTTGAAAGTTATTCACCAACGCATTTATAAGAAATGTGAACAGGATATCAGTGATGAACAATTTGGCTTCCGAAATGGATTTGGGACACGGGAAGCATTAACCAGTTTTATTATATTGCTGCAAAAATGTCGAGAATAAAAAAAGGATCTCTTTTTATGTTTTATTGACTATCAAAAGGCCTTCGACAAAGTAAAACATGATAAGCTGATGGATTGCCTTCACAAAACGGGACTAGACGAGAACGATTTTAAAATTATCCAAACGCTGTATTTTAACCAAACTGCAGCAGTTAGAACAGAAGCCGGTGACACAGAAATATTCAATATCAAGCGAGGTGTAAGACAGGGGTGTGTATTGTCACCACTACTTTTCAATATATATTCGGAAGAAATCTTTGCACGAGTACTAGAGCAATCAAGAGAAGGTGTTAAAATTAACGGCAGAGTTCTAAATAATGTACGATACGCCGACGACACTACGGCCTCAGCATTAACGTCAAGAAAACAAAAACAATGATTGTCTCCAAAACATCCATCCATCCACCCATGGCTTTAAACGTGAATGGTAACATTATCGAAAATATCGAGAAATTTCGATATCTAGGGTGCTGGATAACGAAAGATATAGATCCAGACATAGAAATAAAATCGCGAATTGAACAAGCAAGAAATGTCTTTTTAAAAATGAAACAAATGTTTACGTCCCAAACACTCAATCTCAAAATTCGATACCGAATGCTGAAATGTTACGTTTACAGCCCCTTACTATATGGAATGGAGGCCTGGACCTTTAAAATCAACTCACTCAGGCGTTTGGAAAGTTTTGAAATGTGGTTATTTCGAAGGATGCTGAAAGTCCCCTGGACAGCGCATATGAGCAACGAGCAGGTCCTACAGAGGATGGGTACCGACAGAGAACTCTTAAAAAATAATGAAAACACGGAAAACCTCATATTTGGAACACATATACAGAAATGAGAAATACCAGCTATTGCAGCTTCTTATAGAGGTTAAGGTAGAAGAAAAACGTGGTCCTGGTAGACGGCAGG